TCAAGAGAGCACCAACAGTTCTTGTGTGGGTCTGTAGCTTCGGAGTCCGGGAGGGCTGCATCTCCGCTAGCTCTAAGGGAAGTCTTGGTTTCCTTGTTTCTCCAGGGCCTAGAAGTCATTCACCTTCTTGGTAATTAAGGCGTTAGCTTTCATAGTTCAGTCCGCTCCCCATTCAGCACCTGTAGTAGGAGCACCAAGCCCCAAGCACAGCTGGGACAGCTCCCATGTGCAGGCCATTCCAGTCCACTCAGCCCACCCAGCTAATTGAGGAAAATCTCTTCCTTATGTGAGCCTTAACAATAGCAGGAAGCTTGCTTTGTTTTGTTTTGTTTTTCTTTCACATACTAGGTTAAGTAGTCATTAAATCCCAGGATTAGAATGTCCCCGAGTTAGAATGTTTACATGCACATTGGAGCTGACATGGGGACTTTAAAATAATCTTGCACAAATGAAAAAGGAATCTACATAGCTTCTGTGGGGTGAGAAATACACGCTCAGGAACAGGGATACAACCAGTCTTGTGGTTGTGTTGCACAGACCTCTTGCTAGATTTCTTTATTCTCAGGTAGTATACTAGTTCCTTGAACGCGTAACCTTTTTCCAAGACATGTAAATCTGAATTGTTTTTTCCCTGATATAATTTATAATTATAATTGTATAAAATACTTAGCCAAAGCTTTTTGCCCAACTTCTACTAAAACATGGTTCTGTCGTTTCCTTGACTAATAATGGCAAGCCTGTAGCTTGATTAGAAATGTCCTGAGACCTGTAACTAGCAGAAAGAGCGCAGGGGTCTAGTGTTATCAAAGCCTTCATTTCACCTCTTTAAATTAGGGGAGAAACTGCATTAAATTAAGAGGTTTTATGTGATGCACTGTTTTCTACTAAGGATTTTCCTAATTGGCTCCTTTTGTGCCTTTTTACAAGCTTCCATAGTGACTGTCATACACCTTGTCAACGCTGTCGTTGACACGGTGGATAAAGAAGGTATAAGTGTTTGTGTTTTGTGTCTGTGGTTTGCGGTGACCATCAGTGGGGTGGGAAGCTTCTGCCTACTATCCCATTATGAAAATCGTACATGCTTTGGGGGAGGTTTGATGGGTTTCAGTTTGGGAAGTTTATGTTGACAGTATGTGTTGTGAAAATATTTGTATGTATGTCTTTTTTTTTTTTTTTTAATATTATGGATGGCTGCTGAGAACTTGGGGACCTGTTCCTAGCACCAATTTCTGACCAAGTAGGTCTTTATTAGGCCTGAGAACTTTCATTTTTAATAAGTTTCCAGTTGATTTAGATCTAGGAATTTCCTTATGTAAAAAAAATCACCAATCAAGAATTACTTGCATAGACCATCAAGAGCACACATGCAGGGTCAGAGAGATGGCCCAGGGAAAAAGTGCTTGGCATGCAAGTGTTGAGGACCAAAGTTCAGGTCCCCAGGACCCATGTCAATGAGGATGGGCATGGTGGCCTTCTGGTAATTCCTGCCTTAGAAGACAGAGGCATGGAATCCTCAGAGCAAGCTACCTCTTAGGACTGTAAGCGAGCTATGGGTTTGGTTGAGAGACCCTGGTGTGAAAGAGAAACCGGGATGAGTCCCAACATCCCACCATGGGCCTCCACATGGACACACATATTCGTGTGCATGGCCTCCCAAACACACCACACCACACCACACACACACACACACACACACACACACACACACACACACACACACACACACA